GTTATTTCTCTCAGCAACAACCGGAGGGAGATAGGGGAGAGAGTAGAGGCCGGCGGGCAGACAGAGGGGAGCACAGCCCCTCTGCAAAGAGGGGGAACTCCGCCCGTTGCGGGGAAATGTGCACATCGTCTTCCCCCAATATTGTAAAAATCAGCCAAATAATAAAAGAATATTTTGAGAAGGACATTAAGTTAATTGACAGTGACAGCCCCTGAGCTGCTTGCTGCCCCGAACAGCTCCTAGGCTGCAGGGCGGGTGTGCTGCATCTTCCCACACATCATCTAAGAGAGGTCCTCACCCCAGCTGTGACACCCAAACCCTGCAGTCATGAACAACTTGTAAATAACAAAATTTCACATTTTGAATTAGAACAAATTAATCTGCGCATCCGCAGCGCTTGTTGCAATCACCCGGAGTTTCTGGCACAGACAGAGAGCAGCTCTGCTCTTCCCCAGCAGCGTAAGTCTCCAAGGCCTTTCAGTGCCTGGCCTTGGCTCAGGGAATTTAACATGTTTTAAAGGACAAACCACAGAACAAGAAAGAAATGCAAACCCATGGTGCCCCCACCCCCGGACTGTGTGAAGCATCCTTTTGATGGGACTGAGGAGTGAGTAATTTTAATTTTTTTTTAAAAAAGGCTGGAGCCAGTGGCTGTAACGTGCACTCATTTACATGACAGCAAGAGCCATCCTTCAATCCTGCCTCATTAAGAATAGCTGCCAAAGAACCACGGTCTGTAGCATAGACAGGCTCTTAAGCACTTTCTTAGTCATATTATCAAAGCATTATCCAGATCCCACAATATATTAAAGTCCCAGGTAAAGTATAGATGTACCAGATTTACAATTATACTAGCACAAGGCAGAAAATGTTTCCATTATGGAAAGGTACTATTGAATGTATGATTACAGAAACACATGAATTAAAGATTAGATTACTATTTTAGATAGTACAGGACTGAGCACCTGCCTTGTATGCTAAAACAAACATTTGCAAGCGTCAATAATGAAAGACCCAAGGAAATGTAAAGACTGTTAACAAACATACCCATGCCTGTGCCTTTCCATGGCTATTTGTGTGTGCTAATAGTTAATTGTCCAGCTCCTATCACACAGCTGTCTATTGACCATCATAACCATTTCCTCGCAGCAGGCTGCTCAGCAGAGAGGCCTAAGAATAGTTGCCATGAACTACATCATGCATCCTTTGCCTTACTTGCAGAGGATACTTATATTTGAACTGCTAAGGTCCTCCTCTTTCTTAAAGGAGTAAAAAGATTCTAAACCTGTTGTTCTAGCCCTATGGGTAGGATTTTCCTTAAAAAGGCAGCAAACTGATGAAGCATGCACCAACAGTACACAATTATTCCACAGCTGGTGAAGGTTTTCCACTTTTACAGAGCAACCGCCATCTTCCAAAAAAAAGTAAACAGGCAACAGATACTTATTTCTACATTAGTCTGCTGGATGTCAAAGCTTATAAACATCCTTTAACCAATGAAAAGGGTGACTACGGTATGTCACTGATCTTGAAACAAGGGTGCACTTCTAAAAGAGTTAGAGCTGAGCTCATTTTATACATTACTGTCTTGTCCCGTGGCTCCTTCTAGTGCCCTTCCCCAGGCACTACAATTACCTAAACATTACTTTCAAGTTCCCAGCAAACTTGGTTTAGCCATGTGTCCAGACACCAAACAGGTCTGAGCAGCAGCAACATCTTTCACTAAAACATACAAAGAAAGACGCACCTCAGTCTTCCAAGCATTTCCAGTGAAGTTTGTTTGCTTCTAACTTTTCAGGCTTCTTGGATGCCAGAGAAAACTTTTCTGCGGGACATGGTGAGATCCTGTTGAGGACAAGTACAAGAAGCCCAAGACAAGAAAAGGGTGCTGGGAGAGTTGCTACTCACGGCACTTGCTGGCAGTGTTTTATGTGGCCTGTCCTAGCTTGATGCAATTAAGTCTTCAATTCCAAATGCCAAACGGAACACAGAACATTGTAGCTTCTGTTCTCCTGCAACAACTTTAGGATTTTCTTCTGCACATCCTACTCTGCAGAATCCACAAACATAAAAAAAAGTTATTGCCTACACTCACGAAAATTGTTTTACTCCTATAAAGCTATGAGATCATTTTATAGGTGCTCCTTTACAGTTGAACTGTCCTTTTAAGTGCCTCCAATGTAAATCTATTTTTTTTTTTTTTTAAACAAACCAACCAACCTTGAGATCTTTAGGCAATTATTCCAAGCAGGATCCAAAGTCTTTTCTACCTGTCATCTTAAGGTAAGAGCAATATATTACTGTTAGTTTATTCCAGCATATACCTTAGAAATAACAAATGCCACAACTTAAAGGAAATGCTTTCTAAACCTGCCCTTGCCTCTACCAACACACAGCTAGTGACAGCTGTCTTCTTATCTGGTAGCAGTAGTTTGGAAATGGTGAACTAAAGACTAAAACTAAATGTATGCAATGAATTGAAAATAGAAAGAGTTTAATGTTGGTAACTTGACAGTCTGACTGAGCCTGTCCAGAAGCACAGTGCTTCACTGCTCATCCTCAATATGCCCATTCATGTTTGATTTCCATCAAAAGCACACAACTTAACTATCCACTCTCCCCTACCAACTGCATTTCAAACCACGATTTATTTGCTATGTGGTTTTGTATATTGCATTGGTTTGTACTGCTCAAGAACTGCAGATTCTATCAAAAAAAAACCCCCACAAACAAAACACCAAACCATTTTAGTAAACAAACACCACTAAAGTAGCTGAGGACAGCTCCCCCACAAGCTGGTGATATACAAGGACTCATTCTTTTGTTACATTTAAAATACTAAGATCCAACTTAATCAATCCTTCTACAGACTCATGCTATACTTAAAATGCAGCACTGTAGGTAAATGGCATACCTGAAGACCTTTCTGCATCCTCCACACACTGAATACACACACGTACCACTATTCACACATAAAATACCTATAATACTTACACACATTAAAACAAGGTATGCTGTAACTTGGTTTATATTAGCACAAGAGCATAATTACCTATATAAGCTATTCACCGTCAGCTGTGTTAGCTGCCACCTTCTCAAAGAACTGGCTGACAGATGGACACACTTTTTATTACCACATTTAATTTTTACGTAAGCAGCAGAGATGGTTGTCCATTTACAGCCCAAGCGCTCTGCGGCATATTAAAAGAAATCCATAATACATCCTCTTACCCTAAGGTAAGGGTGAAAGACCTTGCCGTACTTATGAAAGATGTATGTTGGATTTCAGCTAGGTATGTCTACCTAGTTTCTGAAGTGTGCCTGTAGATTCCACCCTTTTGAGACCACCACAGTACACTGAAATATTGGAAGAAATGCTATAGCAAATTAAGATCAGATGGTAGCTGACTTGGGGCAATACGCTCTGTCAAATACAGCTACCTGCCTGTTTTATTTTAAGTTCAGTACCAGCACAGAATTCCATCTAGGATGTATTAGAAATTATCTCCATAATAAAAGAACAACTTAATTGACACGTTG